GGATCATGTTTATAAATAATGACTAGGTTGCTTTTAGAAGCCTATACGAATGCAAACTATGCTGAGTCAGTAGTAGACTAAAGATCTACCATGGGTTACTGCACTTTTCTTGGGGTTAACCTAGTTACAAGGAGTAAAAAGTAAAATATAATTACAAAATCAAATGCAGAACTAGAATTCCAAACAAAGACTCACGGTAGGATATTTGAAAATCAAGTGGGAAACTGCATGGGCCTATATTGTGATAACAAACCAACCATAAGCATTACCTATAATCTGGTACAATATGACAAGACCAAACATACTAAAGTTAACAGACATTTCATCAAAGAAAAACTAGACAGTGATTTAATATATATCCCATACATGCCGACTAGTTCAAAACTTGTAGATATATTGACTAAAAATCTGAGTAATTTAGCATTCTAGTCTATCATTGGCAAGCTGAAGATGAACAATATCTAGTACCCAGCTTGAAATGGAGTATTAAAGAAAATTTATAATTGTATTAAAAAGTATTAGAGTAAAATACACAATATATAATTAATGTAATTAATGGTTTATTTCCTTTTTTATTATAGAAAATTTGTATATATAGGGTTGTGAGATTCAAAAAAATACAAATTTAATCATTCTTGATAGAAATCATACATCAAAAAAATTATTAATGACAAAAACATCAAGGCTTTGACACCTCCACAAAAGTTGTTATGCATCCCCAACAACAGCAAGCATCACCTTGCTCAATCTACTATTAACACTTTAGCTTGACCACTCCCTCCACTTTAAGAACAAGGATCAAGAAAGTAGCAATAATGTGAACGAAAAATTGTCCCATATCATGGAATTCCTTGAACATCTCGAAAGCATCACCTTCAGCAGTTTCCAACTCTGTTGGATAAAAGCAGTCAATTAAGTATAAGGCTTGAAACCTTTATTTCCGTTACAGGACTGAAGGGTCTAGTTTCTTCTTCTGAAATATATAAAGGTAGAATATGATGCAATGAATGAACTAAAAGGGCCAGTATAGAGTTTTACAGTCACTTCACATAGAACCTGATGTTTGAAACTGCTAGGACATATGATATGTTAGAGCATTATTGAAGATGAGATTCAGTGTGCCTTTTTCCTCCTGTTCCTCTCCTTCATAATCTGAATGGCTAGGATATTGGTGAGTGGATCACCTGTGAACACCTAGTTCCATCTATTCCCCTTGTATTGGAAAACACAAGATAAAGGACATTCGTCCAGGACACTATCTTCAAGCTCTACCCTGCTCTCAATACAAGTATTACCACCCTTCTCACCACTCCATTTGTTGGTAAATCCCTCAGCCCACCTATCTAATCTTTCACAAATTATGCACCACCTGGCTGGAGAAAGCCCCTAATTTCATCTCTTAGAAACATATTACGTTTAGTTTCGATGTTGACATGCATTATGTAACTACCACCTTTTGGTTGGATTGTTAGGATCCTTATCTAATTACCACCTTTTTGTTTGGATTGTTAGGATCCTGCACAAAGTAAGAAATAATTTTATTTAACATACTGCAACAATTGATGCTCCTCCTTTCTTTCTCTTCTTCCCCTTATTTGACCTATCATAATTAATTGTTGAGTCTTTTCAATTCTCTAATCCCTGTCTACCCCAATCTTTCTTTCATTAGTTGAGCTTGGTTTACCCATGCTCCGCTTTGTGACCATTTTGGCCATCAGTCTAGTTGTTCCTGGAAGTGGCAAGGAAGGGTGGTGAGGAACCAAGTCAGGTGAAGAATTATCTGATTTAAGAATGAACATTAAGTCTTCCAATTAGACTAATGGAAAAGAAAATGAACACAATGCTGGTAATATTTTTGGATCATGTGGTAAGCGGCTTGAAAGTCTAAGTACTGCCAAACACGCTTTAAAGAATTGAAATATTTTATGATTGGTTCATTATCTTGAGAAATATCACCAAGCCTCAAAGTGAGTTCATACACTTGAGATTGGTTACTCAAATCAGAGTGCATTTGGGTAACATTATTCGGTAGTTCTTTGGCAGTAGTGTAGCATATGTAATTAGAATTAACATCCCCCTCTATAGAATTCAAAATCTATGCCATAACTATGGAATTTTATATCTCCCAGGTGCATGCGATGGATTCGCACTGGCTGGTTCCAAAGTAGCACCTGTAAGGCAACCAATTTTCCTCTTCCTCTATGTAAATCCAAACTGACTATAGTCAACGTAAAAAATTATCACCGTTAAGACTAATGTTAGTAATTTGGATTGGATGAGTTCCAGAGTTAGAGGAAACTCAAGGATTATGGGTTTGGTTAATATTATGTGGTGGCAAGGAGTGAGCAATCAAAATTTCTGACATACTGGAGGTTTATTAATGTTGTGATGGCTATGGGAATAACTTTTTAGAGTTTAGTCAAAAAAAAAAGTTCAGCTCTAATACCACGTTGTCGAGAGGAAAATAGAGAAATAAATATTTGATTTTAATTTTCTCTGATTCTATATTCACACCTTCTACGGTCTTACTTATAGTATGAGGAGATCTTATACGAAAGACAACTAATTACACCAAAAATCCTATAAATTCTCCCATCCATTGTTCCCTATTAATTACAGAGATACTATTAGAAACTAAATTGATATATAAACCTTAAGAATTTGTACACTAATTACAAAATTTCCAACAAATATTAAGATATTTAGCTTATTTAGAAACTACTAATCGATAGGTTTATGAATTGTATAAGTTTTTATTCCCTATTTAAATACTCTATTATAGGGTATTCCAATTAGTTAGCTTATTTTCCTAGTTTCTAAAATTCTTAGTTACACGTAAGAATTCCTATTTTTATTTTATTTAAGTGTCTACGAATTGGATACCCTAACTCAGTTATTTGATAAACTATTTCCGATTACCAATGTTTTGTTTGAGTTAGTGATTTGATCCTTGAAATCCAAGATGTCCTTCTGTCTCTTGTTCTTTATGTCTACTTAATATTCTTCTATTCTTTCTTTAAAGTCTTTACCTTTATCCTCTATTTCCCTCTATCTATCTAGTCTTCTATTCCCTTCCATCATACTTTCTCTTCATTTCTCTACATTGTAGGATAATTGTAGTTCTACCATTAGTTGCCTTATCTCATTAAGAGTTCTTGGTTTCACTTATTTTTTGACTGTGTATCTTGTGCTAGATGAAGACGATTTGGGGAACAATTTAGACATTTTGGTTTTTGGGTTTCTGGATGTGGACAGCAATGATTTGGCGACTGTTAACTTATACTCTTTTAATCTCAAGAAAAAATAGTCAAACAAAATGGTCTATAAGAATACCGTGTAGGCAGCTTCCGCAAATTTGTGGAAGGTAGCAGCCCCCACTAGGTGTTCTTCAGGTGCCTCTATAAACCCTTCATAGGATGTGGTGGGTCGGTTATTCCTCTGCAGCAAAGCTAAACCTGAATAATACAGTTTATAACATCACTGAAAGTACAGAAATTTCTAGCATGAAATCAAGAAAGAGTTACTTGTCATAAATTAATGACAATTGGACTAGCAAGTGAAAGACAAGACCAAAAGGAGAATTCTCCCCATAAAGGAGATAGGAGCTTTTTGTAATGAGAAAAACTTTCTTCCCAAAAAATCAACTAAATGATAGTTACATTTTCATCATCCTGATGCTAATGAGGCTTATAGAAAGAACCTAGAAACACCCAACTTTTTTATCTGTGACACAGTAGTTGAATGTTTATGTTTTCAAGAACTAGATTTCTCTTATTTGATATTTAGTGAAATAGCAAACAAACAACTTTATTCTCAGTAACCCCCACAACAGCCAGAACAAAAGGTATATTCAAATGATGTAACACAGCAAAATAAGGGTTGAAAAGACCAAAAAAAAAAGATAAATTAATCCAGAATCATATGGATTAGCAACAACCACAATAACAGAATTATCACCACCACTTGCTATCTCCTTTGCCCCAAGGGTATAGAGTCAGAGGAATAGTAGTACCTCCTCTTTGCTATCTCATGATGCAGTTTGGACCTACAGCAAATGATAATCGGAGAAATTCCCTTTTATATACTCCAATAATTGGAGAAATCATATCAATTAAAAGAAGACGTACGTACTGCAATTGTAAATATCTTTTGGAGAAATGATATTAGATAAAAGAAGAAATTTAGTGCCTTCTAAATCTGAATATATCTTTCACCTATTTATCCTTGAGTTGAAGAAAATATAACACCTAAAAAGGAAGCTTAAAGTAATGTTCCTTATACCATGTGCCACGTTCTCTCTATTATGGTCTTCAGAATTCAAACCACCACTTATTGAGTACTACAAAACTAAGCTACATATATCTCAAGAATCTAATACATATAAGAGGCATCCAACTCCAACACTAGCCAACTCAAAAAATTTGCTCTTCTCATATACCCTTGTTGTGAATGTTTTTTGGAGAAATCGTAACAGATTAAAGAAGACATACATACTAGCTTCAATCATGTAGTTTTGAAGAAATACAAGAAGCAGAGACATGCAACTGATGATGATATGTGACAGAATTTTCAGTACTGACCTGCTAAAAGTTCTAAATGACCAGTGCCTGTTGCACGATAAGCAACTAGATCACCCAATAATCGTGCTACTGAGTACACTTCATCTTCCTCAGCCACACTCCTGGAAAAATAAATTCTCTGAAAATTGCAAACAAACATCAATGAATAACTTATAATAACCAAAAATGCAGAAAGACACACAAGTATTGGATGCGTCCCAGACAGCATAAAGCCTCCCGAATGCCATGATCAAATACTTCATGATAGTGAGCTTTCCATACATCATCTTCAGTTGCATAAAAAGATCTCCACCTTAGAACATCAGAGCCTGTAAAACATTGCACTACTGCAACAAAACAGACCATGAACATTAACAAAGGCAGCAATTTTGCCTTCCATCTGCTACCATTTGAAATTCCTGCATCACATATATTGACAACCATGTGATCAAATGAGAAATTAGAATAGATCAATCAGATAGAGAGAAAGGGAGAGATACAATTTCTTAGAAGAAAACTGAAAACATTAATTCTAAAGGCTAAACCTTTACAGTTTGGCTCTAGGCTTTGCAGCCAATAGACGTACATTCAATAAGTCCTCCACCTCAATTCAAGTTAAGGGCTAGTTATTTATTTTTAATTTGACCAGCAACAGAAAAAGCTCAAGGCTACTTTCAGCCAGAATAAAACATATTTGTGAGATATATATCACAATGGAAGTAGAGCTTATATCTAGATTTACATCTGCCCTAAACAGAATACTCAACACCTGCATTCCTAGTACGAGAACAGGCATCATTCTAGTCCTGTTTGAAATGTCCTACAGCGGACATATAAAAACTAGGTCTAGAACCCATTGGTTCTGCAGCAAACCTACTGCTATTGGCCATAGTTAAACGTAAAGATTGCCTAATCCTGAGCAAAACAGAATAGACAACAAAAGTAACAAGAAAATGAGCAGCAAGTAATCATTTATGCATGATGCAAACTGTTTGTTTTCCTTTCCTTGTCCAAAGGATGCACACAAAAGGATATTTAATATTACAACATGTCAACACCAATTATACGAGCAAACGAAGGCCAGAGACAGAATTCTGGTTACTGCTTTATGCTCAAGATAATTCAGTATCGATCACTAGATCATATTATAAAAAGAAACAATCATAATATGATTTCAATATTTAGGGGAGAAGTAAAAGTATCCAAAACTTAAGACTCAAATAATACCCAAAAAAAAAAGAGTAAGAAAGGAAAGCTTAATATGAAAAGGGCAGAAAATTAAAGTTAATATGTCATTTTACCTAACAAACAGTCCCTGGGCAATCCATCACGGGAAACATTTTCAACAACATGGAACATAAGGTAAGCGGCCCCCAAAAATTGCAGAGCTGTAACTAGAAATCCAAACCGGCTCCAACAAACCCATGTCTTGTATCTCATCTGTTCATTAAGAAATGGAAAAGAAACCCCATTAGAGATGTAGAAATCAAGTGCAGTAGATTCAAAGCAGACGTACGTATGATATAACATAAAACACATTACAACTATCCAGAATAGGGAGGTTAAAATACCCGTCTATGGTGGCGGAGAGCGGCGTCAACGACTTCGGTCTGCAACGGAGAATCGGTGATGGCTTCAGCGATAACGAGCTGCGCAATGCCGGTCTTGATCATGGTGGCGATCTTAACGGCGGCAGCGAAGGAAACAGCTCCGATTGGGAAAAGGTTTATAAGGTCACAACCTGAGGATGAAACAACGAGGAGAGCGGTGCCGACTATGAACACCACCAAATTAGCAGCGGCCAGCACCAGCGTCGTCCTTCTTACGGTTTGAAGCCTCGGTTTCCACATTTTCTCCCCATGTCATACGCAACAAGAACACATTGTTCTCCCTTTTATCTCTTTCTTTTATTCATCGCAGTTAGAGAAAATGCAGATATAAATTAGACAGCCATACTTGGAAAATAAATAGAGTTTTATATTATTTTAAGGAAAAGAATTAGTTTTATAATATTATTAACGAAAATATATTAAAACCATGTTTGTTAAAAATTAATAAAGAAATTAAATAATTCGGGAGAAATACAGAAAATAAAAGGAAAGAAATTCAAGAGAGTAATTTATTGTAGTATAAAACTATTAAGTCAAAGGGTGTGGCATGCAGCGATACGTACGTTGCATGAGAGAAGCATTTAGGCTTTTTTTTATTTCTCTACTGGACACACGCAAAACGACACCGTTTTGTTTGTGCACTTTCGAAAAATTTTGCTTCCCGTTAAGAGAAAAAGGACCTTAAAAAGCCTTCCTGCATAGATATATAGAAGATGATATCTATAAGCCAGCCCTTACTAATTCACAAAGGGTATAATTCACAAGCATTAGCCATTGGAGTTGCTCCTTTTAATCTCGTCTATACATTGTTTATCTTCAAAAAAAAAAATTATATTTTTCTTTTTAGTTTAATTTATGTGATTATATAATTATCATAAGGAAATTCTCCAAATATTATCTACATTAATGTCTTAACTCTTAAACTCATTTGTGATGTCAAATATTTTGAGGCACTTTTCTATTCTATGGATATAGAGATAATGTTCAAGGAAGGTAATTCAATTGTTAATTAGAAAAAAAAATCTATAAAATTTTTTTTTTTACAAAAATATATTATAAAAACTATTCTACTCAAATGGATACTGGTCCTTTCTTAATAAGAAAAAGAAAAAGAATAATAATAGCTAATCTAATAATTTCTTATACAAATAAATAATAGCAAACTATAATTTAGCATAATCACCTACTTTAATCTTACATTTATAGTGAATTATACTTTTTAGTGTGATAAAATAATTATTAAAATAAATAATTGGAGAACTATAATATCCATCAAAATTGATCTTTAATACAACTATCAAAAGAACATTTCAATATGTTAAGTAGATTTTGCACTCTAGTCAATGGTTTGTCTTCTACTTTCTTTTTAGTGTTTCTTTGATGTGGGTAAGTGGTTGTCCTGATCTCTGCCGTTCAATGAGTTAATTTGTTGTATACTTGATATTGAATATGTTTCCATAATAATTTACAAAAATCAATAGCTGATTTTACACAAAAAGTGAATATAAGAATTTACAAATTCCATTATCAAAATCCTCTAGTTGTAATTTTTCTTTTATAATTTTATCTATCTTTATGGCTTCTCTTATTTATTACAGTGCAATAATGTCAACATGTATGTATTTGCGCTCTAATATGATATTTGATCTAATAATAAAATATATTTAATTTAAATATTATTTAAAATAAAAATATATTCTCATAAAACAACTCTCAATTTATGTCAAATATACAAAAAGATTATACTATTTCTTATAAGAATAAGTTACAAATTTATTTTATAATACCATCAGTGCGGAGACGGGGTCGACAAAATGATATCATTCATTTATTATTTACTACTCATTGTTATGTATTTAATTCCTATATTTATATTATGCAATTATTTTCTCTTATAGTTTAATATTTAATCTCCTAATTCATTGTATTTCTAATATTGCTTATTAAAAAAAAAAAAGGAACAACATAGTAACATGTGATAAAAGAACTACTATAATATTATTGGGAATTGACGATATTTAAAGGCAGTCCTTTAAATTATTGCATGTCAACATTTTATGTACCTTACAATTAAAAGTGTTATTTTAGTTGCCATAAAAACACAGTATATCTATGTATATAAGCATATGTATGAGGAAAATTGTAACAGCCCCGGAAATTTAAAATGGAATGTATATTAAAAATATCAAATGCGGAAGCGAAGTCAAAAATTCGATTAACATCCCTTACACTAAAACCAAAAACGTGCTCACAATATAAAAGATCAAACTACCTAACGGAGAAACTTGAAAGTAAAAGCTACAAACATGACTATGGAGTCTTTAGGCGTTCCCTTCGTCGTCCTCCTGCGGAACCGGCTCGGGAACAATGTCTTCCTGATCTGAAATGATTAAATAAGGAATGAGCTACACTAGCTCAGTAAAGACATCACGATATCTCACCGTCACGGAGGTAAAGGTGGGTAGAAAACACAAAAAGACCAATGGAGCATAATTTACAACAAAACCTTTTATCAATAATAAAACCTTTACCATTCACTTACCTCGGTGAAATTCATAAGACAATATACGAAAGCAATAACATCATCATCATCATGAAATCATATATAGATTGTATAACGTAATACTTATCAAGCCTTTCGTAATTCAATCGTTACACAACATATTTTTCCTTATTTACCAGCCCACTAGTATCCGTGGGGATCCATAGGGTCCCGCTACCCGTTAACCTTTAACACTTGAAATCATATTCCAGGGCCGTCCCCATACCCCGTCCGGTATGAGCGCCAAAACACATAAGATCTCCATACCCCGTCCGGTATGGGAGACCACAATCCCGGTAAGGTTCCCTACGGACCCGGTCCGTCCACCATCTCTCAGGATATCTAGTCAGGCTGACCACATTATACAATTACCCATTTACATAATCTTTCATTCTCCTTTCCCTCAGTCAGCATTATCAATCCATATACAAACAAGCAAAACGATAATTTATGCCAAACAGATAACATACAGGATCAATATCCCAGTCGTTCAATCCATAATCAGTAAAACAGTAAAATATGCACACGAAACTATAAAATGAAAAACATCAAACCTCATATTGCATTTAAAACTGTAAAACAGGCCAAGTAACAGTTAACCGACAAACACACTAGACTCGGGCTCCATTAGCGACCTTAAGCAATTTCACACATTCGTTGATTCATGAAATATCGTTTTATCATTTATTGAACTTTAATACCGTGATAGGAGATAGGGTGAGGGGTTCTTACACGTTTCGGGGTCTGAACACGGCTTCACAGTGTGCCTACAGGCTATCCCTAATTTTCCCTTAATTTTTTCTGGGGAACTGAAACGCACTACTGGTACCTGCACTTGTTCCAAAAAATCCCAAATTAGGCCCAGGGCCCCTTTCGGCCAATATCGCATTTCCGGCACGGCGGATCCGCCGTACTCCAGCAACGGCGCCGCCGCTTGCGGCGGCGATTCGGCTCGGTTTGGCCATTTTCGGCCGTTTCCGACTGAATTCGGCCACACTTGCATCGATACTTGCGATTAAACAACTCTAGGGCCCTCGGGGGGACAAAAAATTACGAAAAACTGAAGCTTACCGGCGACGGTGCTCTCGGGTGCGGCGGCTCTCCGGTGAAGTTCGTGTTTTGGTGATTCGGCTCCGATCAACCTGTAGAGAAAAGAATGGTGATCACGGTGATATAAAAATTGCATTAAACGGAGGCCGAGAAGGACCTCATCGGAGGCAAAAACCGAGGAGGGGCGCGGCGGCGCCGCTGGGCTTCGGCCGTTTGGCCGGGATTTTGGCTCCGA